TACACCTTTGGTTACCCGTAGGAAATTTTGCAAGCTACAATGCAGAGACCGTTTGCTTAAACCATGTATGAGCCTACCTGCATGCAGAAGGGTACGCACCTAACCTTTTGAAGAAGAAGAGAAGAAGAGGTTGGATTGATAACCCCGCCCTTCACTCGGAGTCTCAGAGAGGCTTACAAACTCCTTTCCCTTCCCACAATAGACTCCCTGTGAGGTAGGCAAGGCTGAGGGAGCTCTTTCCAGAACTGTCCTTGAGGGAACAGCTCTGCCGGAACTACGGCTTGCCCAAGGTCATCCAGCAGCTGCAGGTGGTGGCGTGGAGAATCAAACCCGGTTCTCCCAGATTAGAGTCCGCGTACTTCACCACTGTACCAAACTGCCTCTCATTGTCTGCCCAATGAGGACCCTGGCATATTTATAAAAGGGAACAGGATTACAGTCTATCCCATGGCTTATTTCATGTATTCTCTTGCTCTCGTTGTGTTGTTTTCTACTTTTTGTAATCCCATTTTTTCATTGTTTATAGCATATCTTGATACTTCTTGTGCTTTGTTTCTAATTTTTGTATGCGTATTTATATGTCTCCTCTTGATACTCTCCTTTTGATACCCTTCCCTTTGCTTTTTGGCCATTTAAAAAGTGTTGTGCATGTTGAGGGCCCCGTATAAATAAATAATCATTTCAGGAGGAGAAAAAAAGAAACATTTTTATTTGACAGGAGATGACTTTCTCCCCAAAGTCAAAAAGAGTACATTGTCTCCCCCCAAGCACAATCCCATTGATAATCCTTAGGGGGGGGGGGTTGTAAAACACAAAAAAGTATTCCAATTGTAACTTTTTAAAAAAACAACCAGCTATGTTATTTTTTTAACTTCTGCCAACAATCAGCTGACTACGGCCAATTCAAAAGCCTATTCGGTTCCTACTTTGGGGTCACATATTTTTTTTATATAAAAAATGAGGCAACTGTCAAACTCCAGGACACGTCTCTGCCTAAAATTTAAACCAGTTTGGAAGTGCTGAAGTTGGCAGGGGTCCCCCCAGCAAAGCATTGGATTCCTAACTTTCTAAAAGTGCCGGAAATTTTGATAGATAGCACCCACCTCGATGGAGAATTGCAATTCACAAAGCCTATTTGAGTGACTTGGCCGCCAAATAAGTTTGAAACTGGTTTAAATTTGCAGCGTAGACATACCCTCCGACACCAAATTTGATTTTCCAAATGATGGATGAAGGAGCACACTTTTTCAGCTTGGCTTGTATGTATTTCTGTGCAAGCCCCTTGGAAACAGCGGGAGTTTACTCAGAGACGGCATTTTCCATAGCGGCAAGTAGCACTACCATGCCGCTGAATTCCTCTGAGTCTCCTCTGCGGCAATGATTCCGTACGCTACAATATTCAAGACACAAATGCAGAGATTTTTAAAAAACAAACCACTAGTACAAAATAGCACAATCAAATGATCTGATAGTTGGCTTCCCATCCCCTCTTTACTTTGTTATAGCAACTTTAAAAAAAGACAAATTGAACAAAGAAAAAAAGACCCTTCCTTTAGGAGAGGGAGTTTCCAAAGCACACAGCCAAGCAATTCTGTTAAGGCAAATTATATTCCTTCCTGTTTCTTTGAGAACTGAAATCCAGGTTGCTTCCTCTCCGCTAATCAATATCATCCCTGCTGGATACCAAAGCTTGTGTCCAATTTCTGCGATAACGAGCTTGGACTGCCAAACAAAATGATGCCCATCCTCAAATCAAAAACGGCCCAACTGGCCAACAAACAAACAAACGGCAAAATCCCACATTGGTAGTGTTGCCAGTCTCCAGGTGGCAGCTGGAGATCTGGGGTTACAACTGATCTCCAGGTGACGGACATCAGTTCCCCTGGAGAAAAGGGCTGCCTGGGAAGGTGGGACTCTATGGCTTTGTGCCCCATTGAAGTCCCCCCCCTCCCCAAATCCTGCCCTCCTCAGGGTTCACCCCCAAAATCTCCAGGTATTTCTGAACCCCAGAGCTGGCAACTCTGCATACTGGAGTAACCGCAGCTGCAAAGCTATAGGATACTGACTAACAGTTCCATTTTGTGGACAATTATTCCAGTCTAAATCCATTAGCTTCCAGGGGCTTAGGCTGGACTAACTGCAATGGAATTGCACCCTAAACCTCTTACACAAGCATGTCTTCTACACTGGAGCAATGAGTTTAGCCTGGCGTAAGTTCAGAGATAACACTGGCGTGGCTGCTAAGATCACAATCCACTACAAGCTTCTTTGAGAACAGGCCCCATTGAATGCAGCGGGGTGTGTGTGTGTGTCAGGTTTCAAGGACCGGGTTCAGAGCTGCGATGCATGGGTGCAATGTTGGGCAGATATATTTGGGAGTAAGCCTCCCCCGACCCAGTGGCATTCGCTTTGCAATAAAAGTTTGTAAGCTCAGACTGCAGCTAACTCATTCTGTGTTTGTAACTTCTGGGAGGTCTTCTACCGTTGGAGGTTGTGCGTGAACCTCCCGTTTGCTCTCTAAAACATTGGGGACGAGCAAGAACGGATCCAGCGAGTTCGGAGCAAGCCCCGAGAACGGAACTTTGAGAGAACAGGGCGACCTGTGCCTAAGAGCCGTGTGACACTTCTTGAAAGAGACAGATTGAGAAGAAAAAAAAGTGAAAAGGAGAGATCAAAGGCAAAGGAGATGATTTCACTGGATGGAATGAGAAGTCGAGGTGTGTTTGGGGAGGCAGGAAGGGGCTTCGAAAGGGCTTTGCGGGGTGCAAAGGCTTCCCTCCCCCTGGCCTTGGCTTCTCTCTCCGTTTTGATTTTGAAGATCTGTTGTGCTTCTCTTCCCCCCCCCTTCCTGATCCGGGCCTGCGGCGCCAGGAAGCCAGAGCGCGTTCACTCCGCCTGCGCGTCGTAATTCGCACCCCCGGCTTTCTTCAGCTCGCCCTTGATGTAGTCTTCGTCCAGTTCCTTGTGGTCGCTGATCACGAACTCTTTGGCAAAATTCTACAGAAAGCAGAAAAGGGAAACTAACTGAAAGCGATATTAGGAAAGGGGAGGGAGGGGCATCGGGGCGGAGGGGTCAGAGCAGGCCATCGCCAGTCTCGTCTCGTCTGTGGGCAGTTTAGAGAACAGGGAGTGGGCACCGTCACAGAACGGCTGCTGTGGAATACTGGGTCCGATCCCCAAAAGTAGGGATATTAGAATCATAGCGTTGGAAGGGACCTCCAGGGTCATCTAGTCCAACCCCTGCACAATGCAGGAAATTCACAAATACCTCCCCCCCCACCCCCAGGGACCCCAGAAGATGGCAAAAAACAACAACCAGTTGCTTCCTGACCCCAAAGTGGCAATCAACATTTCCCTGGTCATGTAAGAAAGGGCCACAAGAACTAAGCCCTGAGGCAGCCCTTCCTGACCTCCCTCTCATGACCTGCCCGAGTTCACAGAATCAGCATGGCTGTCAGAGGGGCATCTGGCCTCTGCTTGAAAACCTCCAAAGATGGAAAGCCCACCACCTCCTAAGGAAGCCTGTTCCACTGAGGAACTGCTCTAGCTGTCAGGAAGTTCCTCCTAATGTTTAGCTGAAATCTCTTTTGATTCACTTTCAACCCGTTGGTTCTGGTCCGACCTTCTGGGGCGGCAGAAAACAACTCCGCACCATCCTCTCTATGACAGCCGTTCAAGTACTTGAAGATGGTTATCATGTCACCTCTCAGTCATCTCCTCTCCAGGCTAAACATTCCCAGCTCCTTCAACCTTTCCTCATCGGACTTGGTCTCCATACGCCTCACCAGCTTTCTTGCCCTCCTCTGGACATGTTCCAGCTTGTCTATATCCTTCTTAAATGGCGGTGCCCAAAACTGAACACAATACTCTAGAACCAGAGCAAAGTGGTACCATCAGGGCTATTTTTGGGCAGGAACGCACAGGAACGGAGTTCCGGCTGGCTCCCGAGCTGGCCACGCCCAGCAAGAACTCATTAGCATAACAGGCCACACCCAACAGCAGAGACTCATTAGGATTGGCTACATTAGGGGTGTGTGGCCTAACATGCAAAGGAGTTCCTGCTACAAAAAAAGCCCTGGGTTTTGACAACAAACAAGGTAAACAGAATAAGAAGCAAAACGTGGGTGTGGCTGGATGACCACAGTTCTGGTAACATGGGGGTGTGGCCTAATAGGCTAATGAGTCTGCTGCTGGGTGTGGCCTATTATGCTAATGAGTTCCTGCTGGGTTTTTTCTACCAAAAAAGCCCTGGGTACCATCACTTCGCATGATCTGGACACTATCCTTCTGTTGAAACAGATGCTGCAAGTGTCCTCCTGTGTATGAGTATTCCTTCAAAGGTAAAACATCTCCTGGTCTCACTCCAGAGAAACAGAGAAAACTTGAGTCAGGATTGAATGTCTGCTTTGGGGGCGAAGCCAGTGGGCAGCAGGAAACCCACTGGCAGCTGACACTGAGCCCACGAGCACCATGTTGGGGATCACTGGGTGAGAGCTTCAGTCTCTGGAGACTCGTATTCAAATCCTCCATTGACCATGAAGCTCAGTGGGAGGCTTTAAATGAGGGTGTCCGTAACACCTTTAGGGTTGCCAGTTCTGGGCTAGGAAATACCAGGGGATTTGGGGGGTGGAGCCTTGGAAGGGTGGGGTTTGGGGAGGGGAGGGTCATAAAATCCACACATGCCCCAAGCAGCCATTTTCTCCAGGGAAACTGATTTCTATAGAAGAAGAAGAGGTTGGATTTATATCCCGCCCTTCACTACCCGAAGGAGTCTCAGAGCGGCTTACAACCTCCTTTCCCCTCCCCTCCCCTCCCCACAACAGACACCCAGTGAGGTAGGTGGGACTGAGAGAGCTCCTTTGAGGACTGCCCTTGAGAGAACAGCTCTGAGAGAACTTGTGACTGACCCAAGGTCACACCATCAGCTGCATGTGGAGGAGTGGGGAATCAAACCCGGTTCTCCCAGATTAGAGTCCACACTACTAACCACTATACCAAACTGGCTGGAGATCCACTGTCATTCCAGAACCCACCAGAAGGCTGACAACCCTAAACACCTTAAAGACCAGCGCAATTTTATTCTAGTATAAGCTTCTGGGTCTTGTCATTTCCCCTCAAGTGGATGGGTTTTGCTCCTTGGGAGGGGCTGTGGCTCAGTGGTAGAGCCTCTGCTTGGCATGCAGAAGGTTCTAGGTTCAATCCCCAGCTTCTCCAGTTAAAAGATCTGGATCTGGCTGTAGGTGAAAGACCTCTGCCTTAGACCCTGTAGAGCTGCTGCTGCCAGTCTGGGTGGACAATACTGACTTTGATGGACTCAGCGTCCGATTCAGTAGAAGGCAGCTTCATGTGTTTGTGAGTACAGAATTCTGTAAGCAAAACAAACACAGCCTTGTTGACGCATAAGAGGGAAAGTGCCCACTGTCCGTTCCACTCCCAACAAGTTTCTAGTTCTTTTGAAGCTGCAGCCCTAAGACACACATTTCAAAGCCAAGAAACTCTCCGCTTGCCTCTCACCCCCCCGCCCCCCATCCTGTCCTCGGCATTGCCCTAGGAATGAATCACAGCTATTGTGTCTGTGCCGGAGACTCTGGGTCCCACAAACAAGCGTGACCATTTATCGCAGGCCGGGATGCGGCAATAACCTGAATCGCTCGGCAGCACTACAAGAAGCAAAGGCTGAATAACACCCCGGGCAAACCTTGCCTCCGAAAAGTCTGCTTGGCTGCTAGCCTTAGAGGCCTTAGTGACTGGTGCAAGGAATCCAATTTGTTTGTGGGACAAGAATGCAGCCAGGGTTGATAACAGTATCTCCCGTTTAAGGACCTTTCTCTGCTCGAGGCCGCAGAGAGCTGTCGTTGTCGTTCGCAGTAGCCAATCCTGAGCTACCCCAACCTTGGATAAGGTGGCATTCTGTGTCTGAGAATCGAGAAGAGTCAGCAGAAGATGCTAAGTCATTGCTTTTACGCACACGGAATAATGCACTTTCAATCCGCTTTTAGTGCACTTTGTAACTGGATTCTACTGCGTGAAATGGCAAACTCTACTTGCAAGCAATAGCGAAAGTCCAGTGGAAGTCAGTTTAAAGTGCATTATTCAGCATGAATGAAAGTGTGACTTTTCTGGCTACTCTAGAGATATCGGAAGGGAAATGGGAAGTGGACAAGACAGCAGCAGCATTTAGAGAAACTGCTTTTAGGGCACACGAGAGCCTGGACTGAAAATGAAAGTTAAAACTGGCTGCAAAGGTTTTAAAGTCACAGCAGAGCCAATTCCTTTGCCTTCAAAGGCACAGAGCTTTTAAAAGGAACTGTTGTTTTTTTTCTAACCGGTTGGTAAACTTAGGCCCAGCTGGTTCTAATAAGGAAAAAGAATTACAACTTACCAACTTTAGTAACCCCCCATTGCACAAATTTAGAGTCCAGTGGTACCTTTAAGACCAACAAAGTTTTATTCAAGGTAAGAGCTTTTGTGTGCATGCACATTTTTTCAAAAACATTGGAATGGAAGGTAAGGTTCAAACATATAGACAGAGGCTGAGCAGTAAATTAACACGTAACATCAGGGCTTTTTTGGTAGAAAAAGCCCAGCAGAAACTCATTAGCATAATAGGCCACACCCAACAGCAGAAATTCATTTGCTTATTAGGACACACCCTTGAAAGCACAGCTCATTAGAATATTAGGCCACACACCTCATGTTCGCAGAAGTGTGGTCATCCAGACACACCCACCTTTTGCTTCTTACTTTGTTTACTTTGTTGTCAAAACCCAGGGCTTTTTTGTAGCAGGGACTCCTTTGCATGTTAGGCCACACACCCCTAATGTAGCCAGTCCTAATGAGTTTCTGCTGTTGGGTGTGGCCTATTATGCTAATGAGTTCCTGCTGGGTGTGGCCAACTTGGGAGCCAGCCGGAACTCCGTTCCTGTGCGTTCCTGCCCCAAAATAGCCCTGCATAACATGATGAAGATGTTTTAAGATATGCAAAGACAAACTAAATAACAAGCTAAAGTTATAAGGTCAACAGTTGTGAAACTTTGTTGGTCTTAAAGGTGCCACTGGACTTTAAATTTGTTCTACTACTTCAGACCAACACGGCTGACCACCTGGATCTACCCCCATTGCACAATAACATCCAAAAGTCTGCGCTAATGATTCAAGGCATTTGACTTCAAAGGACTTCGACTGTCGACATTTCCAGGCTGAACATTCCAAACAACTTACCTGTACGACTTCTTTAACCAAAGTCTTGTCTGTGCCTGTTTTGGCTCTCTGCAGACCGCTGACACTCTCCCCAATCCAAGTGATCAGGGCAAACTTGACCCGCTTGCTCATGGCGTCCCCAGTGGTAAATCGGACAAAACCAAACAACCGGATATCATCTGGATTGAAAGCAGATTAGAGAATGGGCTGTGAGGCTGAGGGAATGAACTGATTACATTGTTCGCCCCCCCTTGCTCTTCTTCCAGGGGGCTCGTAGTGGAGTCTGCCCCCGTCTGAGTCCACCCACTAGCCAAAATCTCCTTTGGAGACCCTGATCTGTTTGCAGATGCTTTCTGAAGTCAGCAGGGTCTTTTCAGTGGTGGCGCCTTGGCTGTGAAAAGCCCTTCCCACATCCCATTACGTACCTACGTGCCCTCAAGTTGCAATCGACATATGGTGGGTGACCCCAGCAAGGGGCTTTCAGGGCAAGTGAGAAGCAGAGAAGGTTTGCCTCTGAGGACCTTCCTCTGCAGAGCCTTCCTTGGCGGTCTCCCGTCCAAGTACTGCCCCCGCTAAGCGCACCAGACCTGGCAAGATCGGGCTATACCATGCTGCCTTCCGCTCCCTCTTGATCCCATTGCCAGGTAGCAATTGTCACCAGGCCAAAAAGTAAATGTTTTTGCATAAGCTACATTCTGTTGGTGATGGACAGAGCTGTCTGAATGTTACAGAGGGGTGCTTCAGGCAGGAAGTCTTAAGAAGATCAGAATAGCCCTGCTGGATCAGACCACTGGTCCATCTAGTCTAGGGTTGCCAGGCCTGGGTTGGAAAATACCTGGAGATTTTGGGGGTGGGTCCGGGAGAGGGCAGGGTTTGGCGGTGACTTCAGCATGGTACAATGCCATAGAGTCCACCCTTCAAAGCAGCCATTTTCTCCAGGGGAGCTGATCTCTGTCAGCTGGAAATCAGTTGTAAAAACAGGAGATCCCCAGGCCCCACCTGGAGGCTGAGGAGGAGGAGAAGGAGGAATTCCAGAAACAACATCCATGACAAAAATAATGAAAAGATAAGTTGCAAAAACATTTACTGTAGTAATTCTGTAGAAAATTTTCTTGTACTGTCGCTCACACACTAACGAATACTGCGCGATGAAAATAATTCATTTCACAGTATTTGCTTCACCTTGGGTTCTGTTATTAGAGTCAACATGGAATGTTTCCTTCAAGAGCTGATAAGTAGTAATTGATAAGAATTGGGATTGCTACATGCTCAGATAAAGCAAATATTGTGAAACAAATTCTTTTCATCGCGCAGTATTCGTTAGCGTGTGAGCGATAACAGAAGAATTTATGAGGGGTTTATAAGGTTATGCATTTTTGGCTTCTTCCCACCTGGAGGCCGGCAGCCCTAACCTAGTCCAGCATCCCATCTCACACTGTGGCCAAACAGTTCCTCAGGAGGTCCAGCAACAGGGCATAGAAGCTGAGGCCTGTCTGATGTTGCCTCCTCGCACTGGTATTTCATGTTTTTGCTGTTATGGTTACTAATGCTGACAAACACTGTAAAGCATCACTGGAGCAGTTGCTATTAAATTACCTGCTTGGGGTCGTGATCAGAGATATGCACAACCAGTTTTTAATAAGTACAGCCAGATCCAATGTGGGCTGAAATGTTCTGTTTGTTTCATTATTATTTTTTTAAGAGGAGCAGTTTCCCATTTCCTAGCACCCTCGCTTTAATGCCTGATGCGAGACGTACTGGTGCAGGGGGGGGAATGAATACAGAATGTATCTGGTGAAAACCCCTGGTGATGGGTGACAGCCCAAGAGAAAAACTTGAAAAGAAGGGAAATTCGTTGAGAAGACTGGGGAGTTGCAAAAATGGCCCTGTTTCCAGCAGGGGTACGACTTACGAGCGGCAGAAACACCACCATACGCTACCAAGCCTTATAATTCAGCTAGCCATACCTCCCAAAGCTTGGAAGGTGGACTTTAGTAGCCAACAGTTGGTACTTCATAGGTCTGGAGGCAGAGCTTGTTGGGTTAAGGGGAAGGGATAGTAGGACCTCTTTGGGACAGAGAGAAGATCTGAACCTGGGCCTTGCACATCCTGGTCTGATGCCGCAAGTTTGCACAGGCTATTAGAATGGGTGCAGGGGCTTCCCTGTTTCCCGCCATCATAAGATGAGCCCGGCGGGATCAGACCAATGGTCCATCGCGTCCAGCATCCTGTCTTACACAGTGGCCAAGACAAACAAAATTGCTGCAGATGTGCATACAATTAGAAAATAGTTGGCAATAATATAGAACAATAGAATTCTAAGATGTTTTAATACTTGTTTTCAGCAAAGAGCGCCATCGAGATGACGTCGAGATGAGCAGAAACGCGGATTACGAACTTCTCGAGTTCTAGCGTTCGTTTCGATACAGTTCTTTATCAAACAAATCTCAGAATCTCAGTTCTTTAATGCTCTTCATCGGTCTGTCCGATGGAAGTTGAAAATTGTTAGTCCAAAGCTGTTTGGAAAAGTTTCTGGATTTAGGAATTCCTTCTTGTGAAGTATTCGTATGAAGAGCATTAAAGAACTGAGATTCTGAGATTTGTTTGACAAAGAACTGTATCGAAACAAACGCTAGAACTCGAGAAGTTTGTAATCTGCGTTTCTGCTCATCTCGACGTCATCTCGATGGCGCTCTTTGCTGAAAACAAGTATTAAAACATCTTAGAATTCTATTGTTGTTCTATATTATTGCCAACTATTTTCTAATTGTATGCACATCTGCAGCAATTTTGTTTGTCTTTGTGATTATCCATTGCTGTACCCCTTGTGTTACTTTACACAGTGGCCAACCAGTTCCTCTGGAGGACCAACAACAGGGTGGGCAGACGTTGCCTCCTGGCCCTGGGACTCAGAGCTTGACTGCCTCTAAACGTGGAAGTTCCCCTCAGTCACCACGGCTAGTAGCCATTGAGAGATCTCTCCTCCATGAATCTGTCTACTCAGAGGACAATCACGTGCTACAAGTCAGAAAGATTTATTTCTGTTCCTGTCACCTTGGCTATAAAAAGGGCCATGTAAGTGTCTAGAATCCTTCCAGGGCCCTGTTAAAAGGAACTGGCCCCCACTTTCACATAAAGCTTAGGGCTGCCAATGCCAGCTTGGGAAATAGCTGGAGATTTTGGAGGCGGGGCCTGAAGAGGGCGGGGTTTGGGGGGAGGAGAGGAGGAGAAGAAGAGAGTCTAGCGGCTTACAATCCCTTTCCCTTCCCCTCCCTACAACAGACACCCTGTGAGGTAAGTGGGGCTGAGAGAGTTCTGAGAGAACTGTGACTGGCCCAGGGTCACCCAACTGGCTTCCTGTAGAGGAGGAGTGGGGAATCAAACCCAGCTCTCCAGATTAGAGCCCATTGCTCTTTGGACCTCCAGAGGAACTGGTTGGCCACTGTGAGACAGAATGCTGGACTAGATGGACCACTGGTCTGATCCAGCAGGGCTCTTCTCTTCTTGTGTTCTTACGTGCCTCTGTACTGGGAGCAGCTATCAGAGTTTTAAATAAATGTCCAGATGTGTTCTGTCATTTGTATGTCAAGAAAATATTGGAGGAGGAGGAGGAGGCTGGATTTATACCCCGCCCTTCACTACCCAAAGGAGTCTCAGAGCGGCTGACAAACTCCTTTCCCTTCCCTTCCCCTCCCCACAACAGACACCCTGTGAGGTGGGTGGGGCTGAGAGAACTCTGACACAAACTGCTCTTTTTCAAGGACAGCTGTGCCAGAGCTTGTGACTGACCCAAGGTCACATCAGCAGGTGCAAGTGGAGGAGTGGGGAATCAAACCCGGTTCTCCCAGATTAGAGTCTGCACTCTTAACCACTGCGCCAAACTGACTCTCTTCAATGGGACATAACACCACAGAGTCCACTTCCAAAGCAGCCATTTTCTCCAGGGGAACTGAAGAAGAAGAAGAAGAAGACATTGGATTTATACCCCGCCCTTCACTACCCAAAGGAGTCTCAGAGCGGCTTACAAACTCCTTTCCCTTCCCCTCCCCACAACAGACACCCTGTGAGGTGGGTGGGGCTGAGAGAACTCTGACACAAACTGCTCTTTTTCAAGGACAGCTGTGCCAGAGCTTGTGACTGACCCAAGGTCACATCAGCAGGTGCAAGTGGAGGAGTGGGGAATCAAACCCGGTTCTCCCAGATTAGAGTCCACGCACCTAACCACTACACTAAACTGATCTCTGTCGTCTGGAGATCAGCTGTAAATCCCAGGAGATCTCCAGCCACCCCCTGGAGGTTGGCACCCCTAAACTAGACACAGCCAGCCGGGTGGGTTTCCTGACGGCTTCTTGCTCCGACAGCCCTAAAATGAAGCAACTGTGCTCCACCAGCTGTTTCTTTTCGAATGTTCAGATGTGAGCATCCAGTGGCTGAGCTGTTGCTTTTCCCACCTCTGTGCACATCTTTCTTTCCAGACTGCCCCTTGCTCCTTAAGAGAAACCGCCCTCCCCTGCCATCCGGCCTTCTGAAAAACCGACTGTCCTTCCTTCAGGTCTTGCAACTAAGCATGATCGTTTTTTGTTTTCTAAAAAGGCAACTTCCCTTTGAAAGAGGAAACGCGGCCCGGCTCCCCTGCACACACAAGCGCCTTGCCTTGCCAGGAAGCCGAAAATATTGCTGAGGTCTGGAGGAAACAGACAGCTGTTGCACAGATAACCGCCGCCTGACGCCAGAGGCAGATGGGATGCAGTGGACGGGGCACCAGTTGCTGGGACAACAGAGGGGCCTGCTGGGAAGCGGGG